TTCCAGCCATGCATTTGTGTTATTAGCTCAGTTTTTGAACAACAACTTCATAGGGCAAGTCGATCCCAGAAGTAATTTCAGAACACAGGGCAAGTTAGAACACAGGGCAAGTTAGAAAACAGAGGCAAGTTATAAAAGAGAAACTGATCAATTCACACTAGAAGTTACAAAAGAGACACTGATCAATTCACATTCAAACTTCTAATTTGATATAAAATATGAACTTAACAGACGAATTAAGTACAACACTAATTACGTGAAATAGCCTCCTAACTACTACAAAACTAAACAATTAAGTACTACAATTTTGAACTACTATGAACTACACAATATTAAAGAACCATTTTATAGTTAGCAGACAAAGAAAAACAATCACAACTCGGTTAAATTTGACATTTTCCCAATCCCTTTGGAGTTTAACTTCCTTGAGCTTCTTGTTCAATACCATCATCTTCTCTTCATTTTCATTCAATTGAAATTTCAAAGAATCCCTTTCTTCTTCAAGCTCTTTCACTTTTCTCTTTAGTCGATCAATCGGATTATGACCATCTATGAATCTATTCATTAAGGATGATTCATTAGCATTTTCAAGTGACAGATCAATCCATCTAAAATAGTCACATCCACCATTTTCCTACAAACCACATAATAGTAATAAATATACAAAAATGTTGATTTTTCAAATAATACAATAATAGTAGTTTTTGTTCAAATAATTACAAACCTTTGATGCTTTGCATCCAAAAAATCGACGACCTGGGTTCAATGGAGTCCTCGAAGTTTTCAGTCGACAATAATAACCACACTTACATACATCGACTTCCTCGATATTCACTGAACTTTGCGACATTTGATAAAACACAACTGATTTAGAAGAGAGAAACGTTGGATATTTAGAGAAAGAAGAGAGAATTGGGGATTAGGGTTCTAAAATGTATTTGGGGGAAGAAGAATTGGGGATTTTAATGTTAAAATATCCAAGTTAACGTTGGATGTCTTAAATGCAGGGTAAAAAATGGGAGAAAAAACAATTCACGCGCCCAATTTGCGTGAATCACAAACGATTTGCCATGTAGGCAAAAAATGCTTAGATGGTTCAAATCTGGGGTGGTAGAGGTGTTCAATAGGTACTAGGTGTAGTTGAGGTGTCTAAATGAATAATGAGGACAACTTTGAGGGGCCGCAGATGACTTTGGCCAAAAAAAATCATTTCTCCTATCCCCACCCTCATCCCATCTTGACAATAATATAAATTAAAAGAATATAAACATGTGAGTTCATTTCAAGTTTGAGTCCCGAATATCCTAATTAAGAATAAGAGATTTAAAAATAAAATAAAAAGAGAAAATGAACAAGACATTTGGATAATTGATAGAAAATTTTATATTGATAAAAAAAATAAAAAATTAGATGGACAATTAGTCGGGGTGAATATGGATTTTAGTTGGATCCCCATTTATGAGTTGAGTTATAACAAATTCGGGGTTGATATTAAATAGGCCAATAAGAAGATATCATGAAATTAATTATTTTTTCTATATTATTTTCAAGTGTATTGAGTCAAAATATGAATCATATGTGATTTTATAAAATAATAAATTTTTTAAAATATGATTTTTTATTATTTATTTGAGAAGGGTTTAAATTTGGACCAATCACATTAGGCTGCATAATAAATAAATATTTAATAATTTTACTTTAAGGGGGAGCTATTAAAAATAAGGGAAAATATGAGCCAAATGATTAACTCGAGGGTATTTTTGAGCCAAAAGATGGATGCCAGGGGTATATTAAGATCGAAAGGTGGATGATTGGTAATTTTATAACAATTCAAATACTTGACGAATATTTTAGGCGCTTCTCCGTACAACTTATATAGAAATCATTTTCTAGGAGCTGATCACCTATGGTTAGTCCCCATATCTCATCATAAATAGGGTAATTAATAACATTAAGGAGCAAAGAGTAACGTCCAACTTCGCTTGTAGGAACAATTTCATAGTGACTAGAGTCGGCTGTTAGTTTTTCCTCCGTACGTTTTGAGCCTTAGTCTGATGTGATTACTACGGGATTAATGTCGTAGGCTACCTTTTCGATAATGCCACCATCTTGTCCTGTTACAACATGCCTCTGCATGATTCAATTATGTATCTCATCCTCCTTAACCCGACGTCAGTTTTATCATCACTATCCATGTGTCATGATTCGGTGTGCCACACGTCATGGCTATTTTTACCCGTAAAGCCTGAAATGATGTGTACGTGCAGTGAAAGTTTTGGTGGAGGCCGCATGTAAAAGCAAAAGTATTAGAGTAGTTCGCAGAAGAATTTTTTTTGGTCCAAAAGAGAAAAGATACCAACACACTACACTATCATGTACAACTACCTTAAAGCACAAAATCAATGAATACCAAAAATGGCCTCTATTTCTATGTTTACATACGTTATTGCAAATGTGCATCCACTTCTCTAACAAATTCTATACATTTCTTTTGTTCCTTAACTTAAAAAAACACAAGGAGAGGGAAATGCACATGCTATATTAAAGGGTTTGTTGGTAATGCACAAAAATAAAATATTAGGAGTAGTACATATATATAATGGGAAAGTGTGGGGTTGACCTTAGTTGGCCTGACAAAAATCCAGCTTATATATGGATCATGTTATCTTATAAGTTAATTAATATAAGGCTATATAACTCATCACTCTATCATCTTCTGTATTGCTAATTATAAGGGAGGTTTAAAAATTGTCTTTTCACATGACTTACTACTAATTTCACATGCCTTTCTTTCCTCCCTATTTCCCTATTTTCCCCCCTTCTTTTTTTTTCTTTGTGGGTTCTTCACATTTCTTTCTCTTCTACTTTAGAATTTGAAAATATATTGAAACTAATCTTCCACTGATTATCAAAAAGGGACAGTGATTATAACTGTAATCTACACATATCTTGTTAAAATTAATGATCTGATTCTAGGTTACATGTTGGAAAGCATTATATTATTCCCTTCCGTCTTATAATT